TTCTGGTTAAGTCTGCCAGTTAGGGAAGGCACTATGGAGGAGGAGTAGGAACAGGAGGGACAAATGCCCCTTCTGCAACACTCCCTCACTCTCTGGCTTTCCTGCCAAAAGATGACTTCCTAAGCCCCCAAGGGAAGGTGAGCACCAGCTACCATGGTTCCCAGCTGGGGGACCAGGCAGCTTTCCTTTAAAGGGCAGAGCTGGGATGTCTAGTAGCCTCCCTGCTGTCTTGAGGTGTCACCTCTTCTCATTAGAATTCTAGCTCTAGCATTTGCCTTTAAAGCAATTATCTAAGTGTTGTCTCCTCTGGGGGCCAATTTGCCTTCCAACCTCAATAAGCTCCTTTAATTCCCCGTCCAGGAGGGGTGCAGACTGGGGAGCAGTTTTAGCATCAGCGTCTCCATGGAAATTTTTGCACAGCCTATGCTAGATCTTGTCTTTCTGGTTCTATGGAAATTTTCAGATCTTTCCTCCTAACTCTTGCCGACTGGGGCCGGGAGGGCTCTGCGGGACCCTCTCACAGCAAGAAGGGCATGACCTAACCCCTGTGTCAAGAAAGAACTCTGAGGTCTATATATTATGAAAGCAGGCCCTCCCAAGTCCCATGAGGCCATGCGGTCTGGTGGGCTGGAGTTTGGGGAGGGGGCCCAATCCAAACATGCTTTGTTTGGCTAGTATGATGGGTCATCAATCCCAGACTGACGTACCACCCCACCCCCAAATATACACTCAGAGGTGGAGTGTGGGCCCTACTCAGGATGAGAAACAGAACCTCACACTGAGGAAATTAGCTACACCTGAGTAGACAGACTCCCCCGCTGACGTCAAAGGTCCCCGTCCCACAGCACCAGGTGTTTCGGAACTGCTGAAGAGGGGTCCTGCTTAGGGAAGTGCTTTGGAGGCAGGAGAGGGTAGGAGCATCCAGGAGGCCCTTGCATTCCAGGGAGAGGCGGAGTGTGCAAGAGCAGGTGGTTCCCAGCACAGGGCCCTTCCTGGGTGTGCTGGCTCAGGGCCTTGGCATTCTGCGGACAACGCAAGCCTTCACCTTTTCTTTGTCCCCCGTCACTTAGTCTCTTGGCTCAGGCCCTGATGCTAGCCCCTTGCCATCTTTCTCTGGCCTCTTCTAAGGGCTCCTGAACTTCTTGTAGTGAGCTCACTCTGGCTCCCTGAGCATCCACCTACCCAAACATAACAGACAGATGCCACTTGGGAAGAATATGGAACCAAGCTGAAAAGGACATGATGTCCCCTGGAGAAGCCATCTAGGAAGCTCATCATGAGTCCTGAGCTGAAAGGAACCATAGCTCCTAGGAGTGTAGTGTCTGTCATACACATTGGCACATGAGACCCAGGGCAGAGTAATTCAGCGCTTCCCGGGCAGCAAAAAGCTGAGATGGAAACTTGTTCCCTGTGGGTTGTTCCAAAGCCTGGAACCCAGGTATTGAGGACTATCTAAGAGATCTGTTTGTGCAAGAGACTCTTTCCTCAAAGGCTCAGTCAACCAGAATTCACTTCAGAATGATGTTTTCTTCACAATGCTACATTTCTGACCTTGTGGAGGGAGAATAATGAAACGAATTCCCAGAGTTAACTCAGGGCAGGCAGATTCCTCCAGGGGAACGGGCCAAGGTCCTGTGGAGAGAACCAATCCCAAGCTTGTAAAATGCAAGCAAATTGCTGCTTCTTTGGGCGCCAGCAGCCCCTGTGGCTGTAGCAGGGAACTGGGGGCTCTTAGTTACCAATGCGCAAAGAGTTAAAAAGGACTTGTCACTCTCCCACCCCCTCCTTGGGGCCTTAGAATTTCTAGTTCCACAAGAGGTAGAAGGGGTCCCTATGGGTCCCTCTATCTGCTCTGAATGGCTAGAGGCGAGAAAAACCAGGCAAGTCAAAAAAATCTCACATAAAATGTGAATACCTTTAAAGCTGCCAAGTGAGACTGCGGTTTATTGAGTAGAAATCATGCCCACACTGAAACTTTCATTCCCCACCTGGTTTTATGTGATAGCTGTCCCCAGGCCCTCACAACCTTTAGGGCCTAAGAGAACAAAGCTGAGACTCACACAGGGACCATGAACAAACTGGGGCACATCCGTTTGATGCAGCCACAGACACAGGCCAGGAGGACCAAGTGATGGTCAAAGCTTAGAGGATGGACAGGAAGAAGAACACTCCAGAGGGGAGAGGGTCGGGGAGGAGCAGGTCAAGGCAGAAGGGCCAGCTGAGTGACACTGGTCCTCCAGTTTGTATCTACACAAGCAACCATGCTGAGCATTTTGGTAAATGGCTAACTGGTCAAGCTCTAGGAAAAGCTGTAAATGTAAATGTACATTTTCAACTTTTGTCTCCATGAGTTTTCTTCACCTTAGAGATTTTCCACCTTATTCCTTGGCAGGAGCTCAGAGCCACAGAATCACAGAAATTTGGAGTTGGAGGAGAGTACCTGCAGTGGTCATTTGGTCTAACTCCACCCAAAGCAAATGTCCCCTGCAGGCCTTCAGCCCTGCCATGCCAAGTAGGGGACTGAGAGTCTCATAGGACACTTGTGCTCAGGCTCAGCCATTGCTATGATGCATCCCTCTCCACGGATTCAGGGGGCCTGCTCACCACTCCCACCCCTGTGTCCCATGTTCTGGGGGGACGTCTAGTTGACTTATTCCACACGTGTTTCCTCTTACTGCACACAGCCATGACCTCAGCCAAATCTTCTTTTCAAGCCAAATACAACCAGCTTCACAGTCATTCTGGTGGGACAATGTGCTCCAGACCCTCCTTCACCCAGCTTGGCCTTATCTCAGGATGCCCTTTTCTTTTTTCTTCCCAAAGACTATCTTAAAATATGCTGCTCATGTTTCTTTGTGCTCTCCCCTCCCTTTTCATCGAACCTATTCTCAGAAATGGCTCCTGCCACCTAAGATGCAAATGATTGATCATGCTTACTCTGTTACCCTCCCAGGGCTGTTTACGTTTTAACAGGTTCAAAGCCTTAAATCAAAGGGATGGCTGGAAATGCTTTGGTAGCAGGTAATGGGAACACAGGGGACAGGAAAAGGGGCACAGTTATTTTCCTGGAACCCTTAAAATCACGCCTGATACATTTCCTAAACAAAAGACCAACCCGACCAGATAATTTCCTCAAGATGAAGATTAGTGTTGTGGACGTAAGCAGGCTCAGCCTCATCTTTATCTCAGGTGAGACTCTTCACCTGGTCATGCAAATCCCCATAAAATAAATTTCTCAAAGGCAGGGACTGGTTCGGTTACTGTCAAGCCTGGGACTTAGTAACATATTAATATTTCTTTAGACAGTGTTTCCTCGGTCAGTGAGTGAATGAGATCAGGCAGAAGATAGTTTCTCAGGTCACAAACACTGGCAGATGATTCTGGGCCATCAGCACAGGGGCCCATTTGGGATGGAAGAAGGGGAATGGGCCTAAGTTTAGGGCTACAAGTTACCAGAAGGTAACTCTGATTTGGGGAGCAAAAGGAGACAGATAAAAACAAAAGACTAATATGAACATACATGGGGTTTCATTTTAGCTCAAATCCCAAAGATTTTTCTAAAACAAAGACTATATATATCTATATATCTATTTCCCAAATTATACTTATCAGTTGAATCTAAGGAAGAAAGTTTAGTGTTGGGAAATGAATCAGTGACTGAAATTTCAAGTGGAAGAAATATGTCAAAGCAGGGCAAAATTATGCATGGTAAAAACTGGAAGAAGATAAGTAACTTGGACTAGGGTTCGAGGAAGCCTAACATATGGATATTGGAGTTCCTGAAAGAGAAGACAGGGGAGATGGGGGGAAAGAAAAAGAATGAGATTGGCTTCAGATTTCTCATTTTAACACTTGAGAGAAAATGAAAGAACATGTATAGACATCTGAGGGGCAGGGCTGCATGCACCCTAGGGGCTCAGTGCCCAGTCAAAATGCCATTCTCCTATCAGGGGAAAGAAACTCTGTGGACACAGAGTCCAGGAATATGCTACCTTATTTTCTCTTGTATTATTTGAAGAATATACTCAAGGAAGGGTTCTAAACAAGGAACGAACAAACCAGAATAGAGGTTGTCAGGCAGGGGAAGATGGAAAACAGAAGAAAGAATGATAAAAGGTAACATCCCAGGACTCACAATAAACCCCAGTGGAAAATAATAGAACTACCAGGAATGTGTGGTATAGGATTCTTTGCAAAAAGAAAAGGCATCTTGCAAGAGGAAAACTAAAAAGGATAAATGATCTCAGCGAAATGTAGGGTGGGAGATGACGGGAGAAGTCCAGTGTCCCAAGGTCTGGGGCACTGGGGGTGGATCCTGAAGCAATTATAAATTCCTCAGGGTGGGAAAGGGGCATTGGAGACCCAGGGAGTCCAGCTAGGGTAAGCCCTCCGGTATTTTGCTCTCACATGATAATATAGAAACAGGTTTTTGAACATGAGTGTTGGGAAAGGGGCAGTAATCACCAGTTTGGGAAAACCTGAATGACCAGAACTTCTTATTTAGACACTTTCAGTCCCCTGCTTGTCCCTGTTTTGATTTGAAAACTCCAGCAGTGTGGCCAGAGGTGCCCATCAGCCACTGGCTCTGCGCCTGGGGTGCCTTCATCTCTAGCACGTGTCCCCTACTCCATGTCTGCCCAGGAGCCGCTCAGCAAGTTTAATTCTATAGCAGCTATGTTTTATTAAACCGTCCAAGAAGATCACCTTTGAGTCACCTTTCCAAAAGACTTAATATTTTTGTTGTACAACAACAACATGCAAAACATGCTTCTTCCTTTAACTCTGCAATCTCATCCCTGACTTCCTTGAACGTGGCCATTAGGAGGACAATTGTGAGGACTTGGACAGAGAGAGATCAGCCGCAGGGACGGGGAATGACAGGTGTGTCTGATTCCATACAGGTGCAAGAAAAGGCAAAGAAGGAAGCACTGAGCTGCTTGACCCAGAGTTGAGAACAGAAGGTCCGGGCAGAGCATCTCTGCCCGGAGCTGGCTAGTCACCGCTGGGAGACTTCTCTTCTTCACTGCTTTTCATTGTCAGGTAGTAGATGCGGTTGGCCTCTGGGTAGGTGACCTTGCTGAGTGGGAGCTTGTAGATGGCTGGGTTGTTGGTCGTCAGAAGCAGGAAGATGAGGGTGGAGATACAGAAGGCCCAGGTGCCTGGTGGCACAGCCACCTGGAAATAAAGCATCGGGGTCTGAAGAATGATTCTAGGCTCCTGTGTTGGGCCAGAGACACTGGGGGAGGAGGATGTGGTAGGGGTTGAGGGTGGGGATCCTTCTCTAGGGAAGGCACTGCTGTTCCTGGATTCAATGTCTGAGGAGTGGGTCAAGGAATTTGAGGTGGTCCCTTTGGGCAAAATCAGAATCACTTAATACTCGAGCTAAAAATTGGTCTTGACATAGATTCCTACATCATCTCTATAGTGCCATCCGTCCTTCTCTGTTGTTTTCTCTTTCAACACACACACACACACACACACACACACACACACTCTTCCTAGAGGTACATGCACAAATTCTTCTCTGGATAAACCCTAGCGAAGCCTTGATTGAAGCACTAAGTACCAGATGCCATAATCCACTCAGGGCCTTGCACAAGAACCCAAGCATCCGGAAGCTCTGATAGGGCAGGAACACTTTAGGATGGTGCTTGAGAGAGTCCAAACTTACCACCGCCATCATGTTAGAAAGGGCTGCTCCCATGTATGCAGAAAACAGAGCTGTGGAGTTACAAGGACCAACAGTCAGCTTCCAGAGCCTGTGCATCCCCCTCCAGCCACTGCCCTGGCAGAGCCCAGACCAAGAGCAGGGCTCCTGTGTTCTTTCCTGCAGCCTCAGTGTCTGCACTGTGCCYTGACATGGGGCATGTCTGTTTGACATCTTTGCAGTTATCTCCCACCTGACGGTGCATTCTCTGAGAGAAGATATTAAARTCTTACATTCTTTTATTCCCTCCCCATGTCCATGATGGCCTTGCATGGAGCCGGGGTACAATAAASATCTTGTTCCTATGGATCTGGGGGATGAGCTTGTTCAGGCACATAACAAGGGAGCTAGGAATAGGAATAGAGAAGTGACTTTGTTGTCAGTTTCTCGAATACCCACCACAGACAAGTGCCAGTAGGTGGGTCTGCCAGGTGAGGGCGTAGAACATGCCCCCGATGGCGATGCAGGAGAGGACGCAGTTGTAGCTCCAGAGGCCCATATAGATTGTCTCGAAGGGCGTGGCCACCGTCAGGGCTGTGGAATGAGATGTGGTATTTCTGAGTGATTCTGGACCACAGAGGATAGTGCCAGGTCTCAGGTTCCTTTCTGGTTTTTCACCCTATACCTACAACCTTGTCTATCAAAGGAATCTCTGCAGATGGCTTCGGGTCTCAGGAAACTGACAATGGCAAGAAAGCAGTGGTTTCCAAACAGTTTTTCAAAGGCAGGGTTTTCACACAGAGGTGTGACTACTGCTGGACAGATGGGCAGCGGAAGTGGGAGTCAAGCCTACCCACTCCTTTAGCCAGAGAAGCTTCATTTTTAGCAAGAGAGATTTGATTTTTAAAAATTCCATGTCCAATGGCTGAAAATTATGAGTCTACAACTATAGGCACATGTAGAGGTGAGTCATATCCACAGGGGTAGGATGCAAACAACAGGTGAGTCTGGGTAAARACTCAGTGGGCACTTCTGGTATCATTTATTTTTGTGATTTTTTTTTGATGAGTGTGAGAGTATTTCCAATTAAAAATGTTTCAAGTGGCTGCTTCCAAATGTCTTTGAATATGGAATAGTATTGGAATAAGTAAAAAACAGGCTTCTACTCCCAATGTTCCCTTCCTCATTTCTGGATCTTGTGGTACAGAACATATCTGGCTATGTATTTACAAAGGTGGAGGAAGGTGAAATCGCACTTGTGAAATGCTGATCCAATTTTGGGAAAACTTTTCCTTTTAGCTTAYGCAAAACTCCAAAGTGCTGGCCGTGTGTCCAGCTTGGACTTTCCTGTGTCCCTCCCCMACAGGCCACTGCCGTCTCCCTACATTGCAATCTGCACCCTTTAGAGACTCAGGAAAAGGAAAACTAAGTTCCTACCCCTGACCGTGTTTGAAACTCCAGTGAAGAGAGTACATCTAGAATATTTGCTGTGTGTGGGGAGAACGGACCCTACAACGATTATTCTGAGGATCCAAGCAGGGGCCGTGTTTTACCTGCTAACATCCCCACGATGGACCCGATGGCTGCGTGTAAGCAGATGAGCGGGGAGGAGATGAACAGAGCCACCAGGATCACGCCGCCGGTCCAGGGGTTGTCACAGCCATACACCTGGCCAACCCCAGCGGGGATGGCTTGTAAGAGCTGCAAAATCAACAGAACCCGAGTCACTGGAGCATCAGTTGATAATGCAAAGACGGGGCCTGTGGGCCACTGCTGAGCCATTCCTGGAGGGGGCAATGAGGTGGAACGGGAGGATRACCGTGCCCTCCAGTGTGAGAACAGGGGAGGGCAAAAACTGGAACAAATAGCTCCCCACTCCACCACCTACCAGGCATCTGGCAACCTCATGCACCCAGGTGGGCAGGACCCAACATGGGGGCCAGGCACAGATGCTTCTGAGGAACACACAGCTTCTGCTTGGAGGGGACCAGAATGCATGGCCTTCTCAGACTGCCTTTTGGGGTTTCAGGGCAGTAGGGGATTTCCTTTCAACCTCCTGGAATCCTAGAAATATCTACAAATAGCTGAGATATCCTAGGTTATTTTGATGAGTGAGTTTCCCTAAGCTAGAGCCTCTGAACTTGACCGTTAGTCAGGTCTTTACCACCCCCACATGGCTGATACATCCTTTTAGGTGCTCTCTATTCTACCCCTGGAAAGGAGGAGAAGGTGTTTTCCCTGCTCTTCCACTTAGCAGAGTGATAAAGTACTGTTCTGGAACAGCTGAAGAACGGCATGCAGCCCCAACACCCCTGAGCCTTGAGAGTGATCTGGTGGTGGAGGGCTTGGGGATGACTGATTTGAAACAGAGGTTGAATAGTCCTTCTCTGTTCAGGCTGAATTGTCCATATCTCTGCAATCCTTTGAGGTCAAAAGGGGAAAAGACAGAGAGGGGTAGAGGAGGGTGAGCACTGGCCTAGGGATACAGGACTCCAGCTTCCAGAGGGAACTCATTGTGTGACCATACGCGTGTCACTTCCTCATTCCAGGCTCTGGTGTCTTCCTCTGCAACAGGAAGAGGCTGGCCTAGCAGAGGTCCTTCCATCTTTAAAATTCTGTAGCTCATTTCTCTGAGTCATAGGATTCTTAGAGGATAGGATGTTTTATGACTGAGTATACAAAATGTGCATAAAAATATGTATTGATTAGCTTATAAACCCATGCTAGGAATGGCAGGTAGGCCCTACCCACTGTTACATATTGGTTCCAGAAAATGCTTTGTACCAGACCAGGGAACTCAGCTTACATGTTGAACAGGCTAGAAGTCTACTCAACAAAGATCCCAATGACCTTCCAATGTCTAGGGGATGCGGAGTGCTGGGGGGAATCCAGCTTCTACCTGTCCATCCGGGAACACAGTGGTAAGCTCAAGCAATCAAGAATGAGAGGAATGAGGGAACAAGGGGCCTTGGAATAGAGCCATATGCAGATGAATGAATGAAGCTCCTGTGCCAGGGTCCATATTTTAGCCTGGTGAACTGTGCAGTCTTCCCCTAACCCTGCTCTCCAGGCCCGGTTGACACCCTGGGGTGAAGCGCAGTCAGGTGTGTGGTGGAAATTTACCGAGCACCTGGTCTTCTTCATACTCCTTATAATTCTCACGAACAACAACAAGCTGGTTAAACAAAACGAAGTCTTTCCCCTGCAATGCTTTAGAGAAACAGGGAAGTGGCATGGATTCTTCAAAATTCAGATCTGGCGGATGTGGGAGAGAAGGATGCTGTTTGTTAGATTGGTGGGCTGCCGAGGAGTTGGAGGGCGAACTTGGGCCTCAGGATATCCCGATTTGGTCCACCTGCTTTCTCATTGTTTATTTTGAGGAGGAGTAAGAGGGTCTTCTTCTCTGTGACCCACATCACACAGGTCCCCTCAGCACTGACTGGGTTGTCTGGCCTCCCAGCGTGGAGTGGGCCTTTCTCTCTGGTCAAGCCACATGTTCCTATGGTGGGTGCTTAAATAGTGACTCTTGGATGTGGGCCAGGGACAATGGGTCCTTATTCCCAAAGGCCAGAGGATGGGTGACAGTATACTCTCAGCAACTGTACATTTGTGATGGTGGGCTATCAAGCAGAGTTTCTCAACTTGGGTCCTATAGACATTTTGGACTAGAATTCTTTGCTGAGCGTGGTGGGAAGCAGTCTTGTGATTGATGGGATGTTGAGCAGGGTACACAGCTCCCACCTGCTGCATTCCAGAAGCACTTCTCTGGTCTTGACAAAAAAAGGTTTCTTCAGACCTTGCCTAATGTCCCCAAGGAGCAAAAATCACCTTTGCTTGAGAATCATTAGTATAGAGAGTATGTGAAAATTTAACCATTGTCTTCTACTGGTAACACCTGTAACATCCTAATTTTAAACATTTGTTTTAGTCTCTTATTCTTTTATCTATCTTATCTAATATTTTTTTTTTCACACAATCACACCATCCTGCACTGTCAACGTAGCCCTTATTTGTTCACTTGTGTTATCTCTTCCCCTCTATAGAATGTAAGTTTCAGGAGGAAAGGGCTGTTGCTTTCTTCCTTGTGTATGCCCAATATCTGGAAAATTGCCTGGCACATCTCAGATGCTCAATATGTTCTGTTGAATGGGTATCCGGATGTGGCAGCCATGCTTTCTGTACTATCAAGGACAGTGTCTGGTGAAGCTGAAGCTGAGCACCTGGGGAAGGTACAGGCTGGGAAGCAAGAGGATCTGCCATGGAATTGAGGGGCTTCAACTCATTGCCATTGGGAAACTCACCAAGGGCATTTCAATCTCTGTCCAGGTGATATTGGGTACCGACGACACAGGCTCTACTAGCGTCATGGGGAAGAAGAGGTTGTAGTGGCCTGTGGCTGCCAGGTACAGAGTCACAGCGATGTTGAAGGGCAACGTGAAAACTGGCAGGTCCCACTTGCTGAAGATGGTGCTCAGGGCACTGGAGATAACTGGGCTGAAGGTGGAAGAGACAGAGGGCCGATCACTGTGAGTACCCTTACTTTGACACTGTCCCTTCTGCTCTGGCCACTGTGCCCTCTGCCCTCCCCTCTCCTGTTATAGTCATTCCTGACTCCCTCAAGATTCTAGTGGTCCATTGCTTTGGGATTGGAAATGAGATGTTCAACTTAAATTTACAGCTATGAGAAACAAAAATTGAAAATATTGAAACATTTTAAATAGAATACATTATAAATAATTTAAGCATTTCCTTGTTTCTTAAATGGAGAAAATGAAACCAATACATTCTCAAAAAAAATGCAATTCTTGCTTTTCAACAATCAGCTATTGTCCTGGGCTGTGATAGCATTTTAGGAGTCTGACCTAGGAGGAGGCTAGTATGGTGTGTGGGTCCTGTGGAAGCCCGGACTCAGCAAGAACACTAAGAGCTACTCTGAGAACTGCCAGGTGAAGTGAGCCTTCAGTTGTTTGTACCTTCTGTCTTCTTGGCCTCTTCCTTGGAAAGAGCATGGATTTTGGAGACAGATGGAGCTGGATACAAATCCTCATTACTATGCTTACAGGTCAAATGAGCAACTTTAGGTAATGAACCTCTCTTCACTTTCATTTCTTCTGGAAGGGACCAGCCACCCTAGATACCTAACATGCAATCACATGATCTGCCTGCACAGTCCACCCTCAATTCATGACCATGAATCTCAAGGGGGTCTACCTTACCCTACCGCACCTCCCCTGCACACAAACTCTTCAACACACTAAGGAATATTTCACATTTTCAGCTTTCCCTCAAATCTTTAATATCTGCTTCCCTTTTACTTTCAGCCAACCACCGGGTTTTACTCCTTTAAAAAAAATACAAATGACAAAATGAGAAATGCTTCATTTTTCCGACCAAAAAAACCAAACCAAACCAAAACCAAACCTCACACCCACATACTCTGCCTCTTTCCTTTGATGGAAGCGTCTTCTCCTTCATCACTCCAGTCCCAACTGCTCTCATCTCTCTGTGGCTCATTATAGCAGACTCRGGACTGTGCTCCCTCATCCATTCTTGCTCTGCTTTGCAAGCAGAGGCATTTGTTTAAATATAAATTATATCCGTCAATCCTGTGTCCTGTGTTTTACTACAGTTGTAATAAAAATCATAAGACTTCTTGGCTCTCCAGGGAGCAGGGGGCCAGCCCTCATCATCTCCTCTCGCTCTCACCTCCTGYGCCTCCTCCAGCACTCTGGGGGCCTTGGCCCACTGGTCCCCTCTCTACTTCTTGAACACATCACACTTCCCCAGTTTGGGTTTTCTACCTGTGACAACCCTTTCTCTAGATCTTTGAATGTCCCAGCTACAAAGTGGCCTTCCCTGACCACCCATGGCCAGAATCACTCTTGGTTCCATTGACTCTATTTTGGTTTCCAAACTACATACTGCGTTTTTTGAAATGACCTCCTTTTATTAATTAGCTTATGAGTTCATTTCTCTCTTTGTGAACAGAGCTCTTTACCTTTCCTTACTATCCTCGGCTTCTAGAATATCCCTGCACTCAACCAATAGTCAAATCAACACAAATATTTGTTTACTGAATAAATCCGGGACATGGCATTACCAATACCCACCCTACTTAGATACATTTGAAAGACCACATGAATGGATTATGAAGTAGAGTTAATGAAGCACAATGCTCTGCCCAGGGTAGAGTATCAATGTAGTTTTTCTTTTAAATTGGGAAGTGGGGGACACTGAAGTCTAACTGCCACCTAGTGCCACCTGGCTGAGGGGCTTAATCTATATAGTTATAAAGCACACTTATGCAAATGAGGACAAGTTCTGCTCCTCACAGGGGGTGAGCATTAAAGAAATCCCCTCAGAAATGACTGCCTTATCTTTTTGTCYCAACAGATTCAGAAAGAAATCCGAAGAAGAAAAATAAATTGCCCAGAATGGTTAATGTAGTAATTTATTTGCAAGCACTACTAAAAAGTAATGAAACAGTACTTAAGCTAAATGAAACTAACTGGTTTTAGGAACTCCAGACTTTAAAACCAAAGAAAGAATTTATTTCTTAGAGATGTTAAAAATAAGTCACCATGTCTGATTTATCACTGAGAACAGGAATAAATCACCATGTGTGAGCGGAGTTGAGGCCAGGGTAGAATGCACACAGGAAGTCAGGGGTGGAGGTCAAGGGTTCACCGTGACAGCAGGCACACTACTGAGACCCTCTGGGCCCTCTGCCGACCTGCTGTAAATTCAGATGAACTAAGAGTCATGTGTGTGAGTGACAGGCACATACCYTGCACTCAATGAATTTTTTTTTTTAAAACCCCTTCCACCTTGAGGAAGACACAAGTGATACTTCTAGTTCAAATATTCCAGATTACAGAGGGCCATTTTGTCCCAAGAAAGCCTTCTGTTTCTATCACAAGTGAATTTTCAGCTTTTGGGTCTAGRGTAGGCTACATAATAGATGATTGCCACGCAGCCTGGGGTCTGATATGCCCACTCTGGACTCAGAAAGAAAGCATCACAGACATTCATAGAGCATGACCTGGGGCAGGCTACTTGACCTCTGCGTGCCTTGGTCTTCCCTTCTGTCAACTGGGACACACACACCCCCATCTTGCTTAGCGCTGTGCCTGGCCTTTAGGAGCTACTCAAAGTTAGCCTTTATTATGAAGCYTGTCACTCAAGGAAGCTTATCAACACATTTCTATGCTGTCCCCTTGTGTTGCTCCTGAGCTCCTGAGCTTTCATGGTGTCTTGCTACACAAATCAGCCTGTTCATGAAGACACTGAGTGTCAGTGTCCACTGACAGTGGACGGCCTGTCCTTGTCCAGTGAAAGGCACAGACATCTTGGGGCYCCACGGATCTGTATGCAGAAAGAAGGAGGCGCCTCACCAGGCCATGGCTGTGAAGGTCACAGGGAATAGAAGCCACCAGTAGTAGTCCAACTTCTCAGAGAACACGGCCACCAGCAGTCCCACCAGCGTCCCATTGTAGCCATGCAGTCCTGCGGCAATGGCTGATCTAGGGGTGAAACAGTAAGTTGGAGTTGAAATTTGGTGTAGCCTATTGGGCTCTTTCCCCCCAGAATTCTAAGGTAATTTAGACGATAACTTTACTAATGATACATTAAAAGGTCAGCTCGATCAATGAATACTGGGCAGTTGGGCAGTTCCAGCACTTTTCCTTTGATCTTTTGGGGGCATCTCATTCTGCCAGGTACAGAAGGAAATCTATTAGACGTTTGAGGTGTGACGCAGGGAAAGTGTGTGTGTGTGTGTGTGCGTGTGTGTGTGTGTGTGTGTGTGTGTTGCAAGGGAAAATGGCCAGAGAGAGGGCGGAGGAATGAAGGGAGGCAGATGGAGACATGGTCTCTCGGACTGAGCTTTGGGCTCTTTCTCTGTATGTCTACAGGGAGTGCAGGTGCTGAATCATCTTACCCACAAGCACCCCCACCCAGGTATGTGTTGGAGGATGCGGGCAGAGTTGTGTAGAACCAAACTTGGGTCCATTGTCTCTATTTCAGAGAAGTTTGCTGTACTAAACCTCTCTCCCTGATCCTGAGTGACATTGCCCTTCATCTTTGCAATAGCTCTGCTGGAAGAGGAGAGCAGGAAAGGGGGTAGGGGGAAGGGTCTGGACAAATCCTACACAAGATCCCTGCCAGAGAATGAGCCTTATGCCTATGATCTGTCCTCTGGCACTTGGCTATAAGTTCCCTGAGGGCAAGGGCCTGTCTGTGTTCACTGGTATACCTACCTCAGCAGTGTGCGGTATACAGTAGTTACCCAACCAGCATTTGTTGAATGAATATGTGTGAGTACTAATCCTAATCAYGTTTTGGCTGCTCTTGGGTGGCCGAGGCTTCTGGAAGCTCCCAGCTCCCTGAGATGAAGGGAGGGAATTCTGAGAGGAGGGCTTGTGCCCAGCGGGGGGCCATGACTTAGGACTGAAGTCAGGAGGAGCTTCCCCCTCCATAGTAACCAGGAGATCTTGAACTAGACATGGGAGAGTGCGTGAGGCTTGGGGTCCTGCCAGGAGAGCTGTGGACACAAGTGCCTTGTACTGGACACAGGACCAGCTGGATCTTTAGCTACTCCCGAGGCCAGGCAGTTTCTGGGCAGCTGGAGACATACCAGGGCCTGGGAGGGCACGAGGGCACCAGCAGAGACATCTGGGGCCCCCTCAGGAGCAGAACCCTTGTTTGGGGGGAATCTTTTTCTATAGTGTATTTCTGTTTTCTCCATATTTTCCAGTTGTGTATCTTGTTAGAATGGAGTCCTCTTTGTGTCAATACCAGCTGCTTTAGGGAAATTGTTGAAAGTTGGCTGGCCCCTTTTGTGTACGGGGGGATTCTGCAGTCCCAGGGGCTGGGTGTGGCCAGGGTAGCAGGAGTCAAGGTGAGAGAGTCCAGGGGAGACAAAATTAGAGGGACATCTCAAGCCTGCTTCGACAGCTGCTTCCTGTGGACCATCTCTTTCCAGAACGCCCTCTCTCTTTAGCCAAAAGTGCTGGCTTCTGGGTTTAATTATCAAAAGGAAACCCGTTGCCTTACATCCCCACCCTGACCATTGGGGATATAAAATTAGGTTCTATCCCAATGCCCAAAAGCTCCTCACCAGGTCCAAACTCCATCAGGCCACACTGAAGTCAGTGTGTTGACCTGAGTTCTTATTCACAAAGTGTAGTCTCGGACCAGTGCGGAAGGAGGAGGGAGACATTGGGGTGTTGAGGAGTAGTGGGGTGAGGTTATGGCTAGGACACACAGCTAGCTGTGTCAGTGGCTCATTGGGGACAGGGATGGAGTCCTTGGAAGGAGATAGGCAGGTGTGTTGTGAAGGGGACCTGGGGCTTTGGACCTATGGGGTAAAACATGGTGATTACCTGTCAGCAAGGAAGCTTGAGTTTTTCTTAGGTGCTGTGGTGTAATATGGAATATTGGGAATGGCCTTGCTGTCCTGAATACTCCATGGAGAGAAGACTCAGGAAAAAAAAATCAAAGAACAATCTAATAAAATCTAATGCCTCCCTGGAGGAGGAGAGATTTGAAGGAATGGCAGGATTGGATAGGAAGAGGTATACTAGGTGTCAATCACGGAAATCATGAGAGTGCTTAACTGAGGATAAGAGTGACTCGGAGGCCTGGGTAGCAAGGGGACCTCAAAGAAGGTTCTGGAAGCCAAGCTGAGGGCTTGGATTTTTATCTGAATTCTTAATTGGGTTGTCTGGGAGGATTCGGTGGGCCTGGTGTAAAACTGAAGTCTCTGATGCAACTCTGAATGGCTTGACGAGTTTACCAGTATATATAAGTCATGAGAAAAAGCAGAGCATGCGACTGTCAAACCAAGAAGTGAYGGGTTTAAGAGCCACAGATATGACAGATGAGGATGATAGGAAAAGAGGGAGGTGCTGGTCACAGTGAAGAAGGCAGAGGACTGGGTAGTGTTCAGCCCAGGAAAGTTCTAGCAAACACTGGGGAAGCAGTGGGCAGGAGCTGATCCCATCTGGGGGCCAGTTCTGTGCCAGCTGCCCATGAGCTGATAGGGAAGTGGGCATGAGGAACAGGGGCCCCTAGTTGAAGCTGACACAAAATTCTGGTGGGAGCCCACTGTCTCCTTACCTACAAGCCCTGCCCTCCAAAGAAGGCAGTCTCTCTTCCACTTGAACTCWCATGGCTGCCCAGCTTGCCAGAGTGGGCCTTCTGGCCACCTTAGAGGTGCATGAGCAGCTCCTCATGGGGACAAGCTGACCCAAGCATTTGCCTCGGTGGTGTGTGGGAGGCCAGGTGGGCCTGGAGGGCGTGATGTTGGCTGCTCAGACTATTGCCACTGCTCTGTGTTTACCATGAGACCTCTGGCCATTTTGTCATTGCAGGTGCAATGACAGGGACAGCATGATTTCAAGCATGACATGTCATATGTCCAAGCCCACGTCCTGCCACCCCTGCCTGTGGCACTTTAGATGAGCACCTTTGTCTTGCAGGTCCCCCTTACCCTGCAAAATATAAAACCTGATGCCCTCACCATCTGCCCTGGTAAACAGTGCTAAGAGCCTTGGGTGACAAGGCAGAGTGGTGCTTTATAATTTTTCTTTTCATCTTTATTTTATTTTTATGTGGTGCTGAGGATCAAACCCAGTGCCTCACACATTCGAGGCAAGCACTCTTCCACTGAGCTACAACCCCAGCCCTTTTTAATTTTTTGAGAGAAAAAATTTGTTCTTCTTAGTCATACATGACAGTAGATTCCTTTCTGATATAATAATATAAGCATRGAATATATSTTATTCTAATTAGGACCCCATTTTTATGGATGGACACAATGGTGAGATTCACTGTGGTGCAAAGAAAGACCTTTTATATTATGATCAAATTCTTCCCTCACCACATTCCAACAGAATTCAAGCAAATATTTCACAAAATAATATTTACCTTTATCACACATGGATTGCTCTAGTCAGATTAATTTTATTCTATTGGTCTTAATTTTAAAAATTGCTGTCAGTAATTAATTAACGATTCCATAAACTCCAAATTGAAAAACATTAAGATATGGGATAATCCTGTATTCATGTCCTAAAGTTCTCTGATGCCAGAAGCTTCTGGGTGGATTTTGTTAAAAATTCTCCTCCTGGATCCATTGAATCAGAATAGCYATGGGAGGGAGGGAGGGAGGGAGGAGGGGCTGAAACTGTTTTTTTGGTAATCATCCCAGGAGATTCTGATCAGGAAGGTTTGGGAACTGTTGGAGTAAAACGTAACAGAAGTCTGAAGAAACAGTCTAGTTCTACAAATGCTGGTTGCTGTTATAACCTGGCTCTGCACCCACCTGCCCTGGCTCACAGTAGCTGGCTCCCCCACGTCTGTCTCTATTCTTCCTGCTGCCCCTGTCTGTCCTGTTCCTCAGAGGCTCCCTCCCACACCACCCTTCCCTTTTTCTCAACTTCTCTCCATACCCAACATGTCTACCTCAACAGYGCCTCCCAGTCTTGCCAGCAGGCAGAGATGTCTATCTTCTCTGAAATCTCTGGTGTGCACTATCCTGTAGTATTCGGAGGCATCTGTTGCCTGTCAATCTTGTCTACTGATCACTAGATCATAGGCCCCACGAGGGAAGAACAGCTTACATGTCCTCTACACCTTTCTCAGAGGGAGAGTTTCCAGAAAGTTCCACAGTCACATTGAACCGGGTGCCATCCCTGCCTGTGAACTTCATTCTGTAGGAACTTCCAGTGACCTGTGTGAAGTTAGCTCTCAGGGGACTCGCCTGGCTGTGCCCCACACATCTTTCCAAGAGACCTCTAGAGAGGGACTCACCTGTCCTGGTTTAAGGCGAGGGCAGTTAAGGTGGAGACCACTGTCCCCAGAGCCCCAGCAATGGTCCACCAGGGATTCTGGATCAGAAGCCCAATGAAGATGATGAGCCCACTGAGAGGGTTGTTGACGAACATCACCTGAGCGRCTCCCCTCAGGATCCAGTCTACGAACTGGAAGGCCAAGGGCTTATCTGCAAGAGATAGACAGAGCCATCAGCAGGGTCTAGCCTGCACTGCCCCACTGGACCACTGGTTGGCATGGCAACCAAGGCATACAGGGATGCTTCAGCCAGGATGTTTCTCCTATTCAATTCAGCCTGGCCTAGGGTGGGGCAGTGAAGGGGAAGGGTGCGGGGGGTCACCCAGCCCAAGACTGGACGGTTCCTTTTGCCATAAAGACTGAGGCACTGTCCTGGGACTAATTTAACAGAGTTCCAGCCATTGGCTCGGTTGGCAAGAAAACCCCAGGAGCACTCCAAGGAAAATTTATTGGTCCAAGGGAAGGGGTGGGAGGGAGGGAAACTCTTTTTGTGTAGTGCTGCATGACTCAGTTGAGGACTGGTATCTGAGTAGCAAAGAAAGTAGCCTGAAGAAAGGAAAGTGGGAAAAGAAATTGTTCTAGCCCAGCTGTGAAAATCATTATTGATTCAGGGCCCAGAGGAAGCCGGGTATAGAAGAGGGGAGACACAGTGTGCCTCCTTCCCCGATTTGGTTTCTAGGACAACCCATGCTGGTGGGGGGCAAGTGGGGACGGGGAGGGTGTGGTGTTTGGTGTAGCATTTAATTCAGGAAGAAGTAAAAGGAAAAAACCCTGGAACCTTGGGAAAAATGATGCCTGTTTTTTTTTGGCTCTTGGTAAGCAACGTAAAAAATAGCTGTGGAGCAAGTGAAGGAATGGCTATTCAAATGGTTTGTCTGGGAAAGGGTTTACATGTTGCCAATGTCATTGTCCTTTATTTGGATAACTTACAAAGGACTAAAGTCCGTGGAGGGCATTTCCTTCTGACCCTGGGAATGCAGCTCAGTGTGGTATGTGATGAGTATCTGGAGCGACTTGGGGCTGGAGCGCCCCTCAACTGAGGGAGCCCTGGGATGGGGTGCGAGGGAGTAGCTTCCTCCTCTAAACGGGAGCAAGGGCTGTCTCTGGCCCGGCCCATGGCTCCTTCRCTGGCGTCTGCTTACCTTTCAGCCAGTTCCTGTACTCCTCCATCTCCCCCGTGAGGTAGCTCACTGCTTGGAAGAGGCTGAAGCCTCCCCGGTCTGCAGAGCCCCTGTGGGACACCTTGCTCCCTTTCCTTTTGTTCCTTTCACTGGGTTTTTCAATTTTCACAATGTGGCTGTCTTCGTCAGATAATCGGAGATCCTTCCAAGAAAAGCCACAAGAAGACATCAGAATATACTCTTCTGAGAGTAGGGACATTTCAGGTTTTTTTTTTTTTTTTTTTTTTTTTTTTGATAAAGGTAAAAGATCATGACACAAAGGGTGGGACACATGTTCATTGTCTAAAGCTGTCCCGAGCACTCCATGCAAGCCCACCCTTCCCGGGACTGCCACATATCCCTCATGAGAGGGTGTCTTAACATTCTGTACCAGGGATCCATTTTAGCAGTTTAGTGAAGCCTATGAACTTCTTTGCAGAAAAATGTTTGGAAATGTATAAAATAAAATAAGAAAACCAATTACATTGAAATGCAATTACCACAGTATTTTAAAAAAAATTGTGGTCTGTATGTGTGCATCAGATCTATTGCCTCTTACAATTGAAAATTTGTGATGAGTGGCTATGACCTCTTCATCCCAATCTTTGTATACAATCAGGGAAAAAAAAAAAGATGGACAGTTCAAGTTGATGAAGATGTGGAGAAACCGAAACATGGGACACTCTTGGTGAGGATGTATGGTGGTCCACCTGCTTTGACAGGATTGGTAGTTCCTTAAAATGTTAAACATAGAGTTACCTGATCCAGAAATTTCACTCTTAGCTTTATACCCAAGGTAAATGAGAACATACGCCCACACCAAAACTTGTGCATGGATGTTCATAGCAACATTATTTATAACAATCAAAAAGTGGCAACAATCTAAATCTCCATCAACTGATGAGTGGATAGACAAACTGTGGTGTGTCCACACAGGGAAATATGGTTTGGTCATAAAAGGGAGTGAAGTCTTAATTTTTACTGTGACATAGATGAACCTGAAAACATGCTAAATGAAAGAAGCCAGTCACAAAATGCCACATATTRTATGGATTTATGTGAAATATCCAGAATAGGCAAAATCATAGGGACCAAAATTAGATTGGTGGTTGCTAGAGGTGGGGGTGGGGAGGGTGGAAAGGGGGGTGACTGCTAATGGTCACGGGCTTTCTTTTTGAGACAAGGTAAATATACTGGAAGTAGATTGTAGTGATGTTTGCACAACTCTATAAATATCCTTAAAAGCCCTTGATTATAAGCTTTTAAAGGATAAATTTTATGGCATATGAATTTTATCTCATTAGAAAGACTCAGTGTTGTGTCCCTCTCCACTGTCACAAGTTATCCAGTCCACCTCCTGCTCCTGTGTCCAGAGAGTGCCAGGGCCCACATTCTGGAAAAAGCCTTTATTCTGGAGACTTTCTCAGGGAGAAAATCTAAGGGGAAAGATTTTGGAGACAGATGGAAGCCTGGAGTGTGAGTGTGAGCATTGTCTGCTTGCACTTTACGGTCATGTTCCACAGACAGCCACGCTTTTATGTCTAGGGCCAGGTAGGACTGATCATGGAGTCCATTGGGAGGCCCGGAAAGCAGCACCTTTCACTTCCCTCCCTGCAACTCCTCACCTGGAGAGCACCCTGGATTGGACATGGCTCACCTTTTCTTCAGGCATTTCCAGCAGGGGCAGGGCCGGGTGTGTATCCTGGGGGCTAGACGGCCAGGTAGGGCTGCTCGGCTCTGACTCGTAGAGTTTGTGTCTGCTGGAAAGAGGCTCTGGCAGGAGAGGGCTGGTGTGGTTGTCAGACATCTCCTTGAGGGGCAGCTGCTCATCGGTCATGCAGCTGGTGAGAGGGAAAGGGAAGACAGTGACTGAGGATGGGTCCAGAGGACTGGCCTGAGGCCGGACTGACAGCTCAGGAGGCATGAGGTCTGGGGGGCAGAGGGGGAACAGTGACACATGTGGAGTCTGCTGTTTCAGTCGCTTGTGCTGTCGGGGGGCTGGGGCCGTTTCTCTAGCCATGTGAGCTTTTCCTTTCAAAAATCTCCCCATACTTCTAGTCCTGAAGAAACTCCATTTTTTTCTATAAAGACTTCCCTAACCACCTTGCTAGAAGTCTCTCTCTCTCTCTCTCTCTCTCTCTCTCTCTCTCTCCCCCACCCCCATTTTTCTTTTTTGCAGTACTGGGTGCTCCATCTCAGCCCTTTTGATTTTATTTTATTATTTTTTATTGGTTGCTCAAAACATTACATAACTCTTGGCATATCGTATTTCATACATTTGATTCAAGTGGATTATGAACTCCCATTTTTACCCCATATACAGATTGCAGAATCACAGTGGTTACACATCCACGTTTATACATACTGCCATACTAGTGTCTGTTGTATTCTGCTGCCTTTCCTATCCCCTTCCTATCCCCCCTCCCCTCCCCTCCCCTCCCATCTTCTCTCTCTACCCCATCTACTGTAATTCATTTCTCTCTCTCTTGTTTTTTTTTAGCCCTTTTTATTTTTAGGGGTTCTCACTATGTTGCCAAGGCTGGTCTCAAACCTCTGATCCTCTTGCTTCAGCTTCCTGAGTTGCTGGGATTACAATTCTGTGCCACAATACCTAGCAGAAGTCTCTCTCTCTTCTCTCTCTCTCTCTCTCTCTCTCTCTCTCTCTCTCTCTCTCTGTCTTTGCTGATCACTGAAATATTTTTTCTTCACCTTTCATGTTGCCCTTTATACTATCTTATTGTGGTAGTTAGTTGTACATATATTTTCCCCTTGATGTAGGCACGTAGATCTTTTACCAATTGAGGAGCTAAAAGAAACTCATTTTCCAAATTGCTATGGAGATGGCATTGCTTACAGTCAACCTGCAATGGCCCCTTTCTCCATTCTCCTTTGRGCCCTTTCTAACTCCTTCCCCCTGTCCCTCCCCAGAAGGAGCACAAAGCTCTGGCATGTTCTACTGGAAGCTGTGTGCATCCAGGCTGGAGGTCCTTTCTCCTCTGTGTCTGGCTCCTTTTCCCTTCACTCTGAGGACCAGGGCTCGTGGAAGTTCCTTTACTTAAGGCCCCCAGTTTCCTGCTTCACCCAGTTTCCTACCAGCCACCATGGTGGTGCTATACGTCCCTCCTTCCCATTCTATTATTTTAGCCGTTCTTGTTTGGTCTCCTCCAGCTCAGTCACATCTTTATTTGCTTTGTTGTGTTTTTGAGAAGTGGTTTTGAACCTGCTGCTCACAGCTCCTGTCTATAAGGTTCTCCCCATTGCTCCAGCTGCCTGTCCTGAGGTGCTCAAAGTCTCCCTTAGGACATTGATTTCAGATTCCAAACACTGCTGCTACCATTCCTTATAATGGTACCATTTCCCCGGGCCATTTACTCTCCTCCTCCAATGGAGGGGGAACTCTTGCTCTCCACTCTTGTTTTCAGATTGCCACTGACCTTGACTGTGCAGAAGCTGTCATCCCAGAGGTGAACACCAGCTGGTCACCTGCTTCCCAACTGCTTGTTGTGGCTACTGAATTTCTGGTCACTTTCCAGAAGGCTCTAGGTGCACCTACCAGGCATCTTCATCCCCCTGCCAATCATTCTAAGCAACTGCAGTGTCCTGGAAGATAACCCACTGTCCCCCTCTCTGGCTTCTCAGGTCCTTGTTTTCCTCAACTCCACTGACTCCACCTTCTCTTTCCAGTCACCGGTTTCCACAGTCACAGCGTGGGCCTGATGTCACACATGCTCTGAAGTCTTAAAAGTCAAATCTGTCCTTTGGTCATTACCTCCTGTCCTTCTGATTCCCCTGCTCAAGTGTCCCCTCTGACCCAGCCCCCTGACCTCCTGGAGATCTCCAACCCCTTGGCTCCACCCATCACCTATCTTCCCTTCCCTCCTTGGCCAATTTAGATTTTGTTTTACTCCTTTCAGCCAGCTTCCTCCTCTCTCCCTCCCTCATGCCTATGTGGTGAGATCCCAACCAGGATGGACCCAGGGATCCCACTCTTCCATGTTTTCATCGAGCCATTGAACCTGGCTAAACATCAATTTGATGCCCTGGGTGCTGCTTTCTCTTGGTATTTGTGATTTCCATTTCTGAAMAAACACCCAGTGCCTCCTTCTCTCTCTCTTCAGCCCACCTCATCCCAGTGTGTTACTATTGCCTTTGCTGAGGTCCCTAAGACCGCCATGTTGGCAAATCCAAATACGCTTCAGTTCTCATCTTGCTAGACCTCTTAGTGGAGTCCAAGACTCCATCATCCCTATTGGACACATGGTGAGGCTTTACAGCTGATCTGCTCTCTGGTTGCTTCTTCCCCTCTCCTTGGCTAGCTCTGCCTCCTGCATATGTGAGCATCCTGCAGAGTTCTGTTCTGGACCATTTTCTCTTCACTGCTGTTCCTTCCCAGTTGATGCCAGCTGTCACTGTGGCTTTGTATTCCGTGTATGTGCTGATGACTCTCAAATCTGACATTTCTAGCCCAGTTTTGAGCACTGGATTAAAAGATGCGATTGTCTACTCTGTACTTGTACGTGGAGGTTCCAGAAATGGCTAGAAGTTAAGAGGCTCATAATTTTGCTTTGTCAAATCCTGTCCTCTGTCATAGGGTGTCCACCCAGAGCAAGTTCCCCCTCTCCCAAGCTACTCCTTCAGAAAACTTAGGAGTTAGTTTTAATGGTCCCTTCTATATTATTCTCCACACCCAGCAATTCTGTTTCTAGAACATACTGTCACCAAGGAGTTACCATAACTTCCTGCTACTTCCCCAGTAATTCCCACTTGGATACCTCCACCTTCCCTCAGATTTAATTTCCAAGCCATGCTCCTTGGGACAGAGCTGTCACATGAATACCAAGATACACTCAAATTGGTTCTTTGTTTTAACCCTTTAATAATTTCATGTGGAAAAACACGCCCTTATGCTGGTGTGCAAGACTCTGCATTACCCTGGGCTCATGCGGGTCTCCTATTAGTCCCTGGAAGGTGTTGAACTCTTTCCAGCTCAGAATCTCAGTGGGCAGGGTCCATCATTTTGGAAGGCCTCCCCATCCATCTTTCCTAGAGGAATTTGTCTCAATTATAACTTGTTAGGGAAACCTTCCCAGATCCAGCCTCCCTCAGCCCTCTCCTGTCCCATCTTTTGGAACCCCATGTTTTTCCTTACAGCAGATTTGTGTACTAATTTATATAAATCCCCCAGAACTCAAGATTCACGAGTACAGTGACCTCCTCTTTTCTCTGTTGTATCCCTAGCTCCTACCATGGTGCCTGGGGCCTGTAGTAGATGCTCAATAAATAAATATTTAATGAAAGGAAGGGAGGGTGAAGGCAGAAAGGAAGAAGGAAGGAATTGTAAGTGAGGCTACAGGTGGTGACCGTTAGAGTGGGAACAATTCCTTGGAGAACTTTACAGATCCCTGGGGGTCTCAAGAGTTTCCAATAGTATAAGAAGAGTGTGGGCTTTRTCTCTGCATTTCTATAAAGTGAAGCCCCTTACTTGTGACCAACATTGTTCTCACATCCAGGAAGAGCTCATTAAGCAACAACTATTTTTTGTATGGTTCTAACAACATTCATATCCAACCCACTCAATTCTGCCATCGCTCTGGAATTGGGGTGCTTTCCTCTACTTGGGTCCTGCAGGTGGGGTTTCAGGGAGAGGTGCTGCACTCTGGTCTGGAGGGATCATGCTGGAAAGGTTTCATTGACAGTAGATTGCAAGGAGCCTGGAATCTGTCCCTCTCCAATGTGCTTGCTCCCTCTGGTGGCCAAGAGGTGACACAACACTCCTAACCCCTTGGTAAAAATTTCCTCAGGAAAAGTGAGGAATGGTCACTACATCCAATGTGGACATTGGATGTGTGTCATCTGGATGAACTGGAAATGTTCTGGAAAGACCTCGTGTTAAATTCAGTGGCTCTAAAACCTATTATCAAGTCGAAAAATAATGATGACAATATTTAAAAAGCATATTTCATTGAATTTAAGATGTTATCAACGGTAAGATAAATCTTTATATGTATCGACAAGAAAGAAGAAAACGCTGCTGATCACAATTGTAAGATGCATCTTGATCTCAGAAATGTGAATTTCTGAAAACAACATATATCACACATTCAAGGACATGGGGTGGTGTTTAAGGGATGTGCTCAAGTCTACAATTAGGAGTTGAGAATGAATGAATTCAGGAATTACTCTCTAATCACAAGACTGGAAATACTTTTTTTTTCCATGAAACATGTGTATACATTATGAGTCCTTTAAGAACAGGGACTGCTGGCTTGTTAAGTCCTGTATTTGTGCCAGCAGCAGAAAGTCTGACCTGTCCTAATTCCTGGATAAATTTTGAATGAATTAAGGAAAGAAATGAATGATTGCACAAAGCGAGTGCTCTCTGAAACACTGTCCAAAAAGGCACTTTCTTCTCTACTTTTGGGTCCTTCCTCTAAGCAGACACTATTCCCATTTACAGAGAAATCAAGGCCCTGAAATTGCAAAGCAGGAATTGTTTCTCGTGTGACTGAAACTCTCTGACTTTTCCAAAGCAAGCTCACCTCACYGTAAGGTCTATAGGAGGTAGAGACCAGGAGAACTGATAGCTGCTGCGGCGTCAAGATGAGACCCCGTTCCCTGCCTGGGGATCTCCCATGATTCCCCCTGCCTTGTGGGCCTAGCTGGGGCACGCAGAGCCTGGTGTCTGGCCCTGGAGGCCGTGGCCAGGCCTCAGCCCGGCCCTCTGTTTCATAAGCCCACATGCCTCAGCAGGCGTGACGTGCTTACATCTCCTCTAGGGAACACAGTGTTCCTTTGCCATGGGAATGTTTATCCTGTTAAAATGGGGGAATTTTGGCT